GAAGAAATTGCATAGATAAAAACGATTCAAAAAGCTTCTTTTTTTTATTCAAAGATTTAAGATCTTTTCCCTTGAACCTAAGCGTAAATAATCGATAGATACCTAAAAGTAAAGAGTTCTAGCCAAAACCTTTCCCTCAAATGAAAATTGTAAGTATGGTGGTGGTTTTGAAGGTTGTTCTTATTTTTGGCAAAAAAAATAGAAGATATTCTTGATAAACTTGGAAAATATTTGTTTTCTAAGACACTATCAATCATTCCGCATACGGGTGATCGATCGATTGCCTATTTGATGTTTCTACTTTCTATGTGTGCTTTAGCTTTAAGACTACATGACATGTTTTCAATAGATTGAGCATAATTTGAAATCGCACCTTTGGATTTTCACGTTCTGATATGGAAATAGAAGCTAACACTCCCAGCTATAGTCTATGAAAATATGAGCCGGTCCAACGGTAGAAACGTGTCCATCTGATGCGAAATATCTGATGTTAAGAATATATCCAATCTCCAAAATACTTGTTTTACATATTTTTTGTTCCAAAATGCTCTAATTTTCTGTTAAGACTCTTAAAACTATACAACACTAAAACGCAATTAGTTTCTTTGTCAAAAACCTAATTAAAACATAGTAAAATATTACCTATATCAAGGAGAATCATGGTGGGGCTAGAGGTGTTGCGAGAAGGATTGGGTTGGCTAATTGGAAATGGGGACGATGTTAGATTCTGATACCAGTTAGTCCCCTAATTCTATCAAACCAGCTATTAAGGTTTTATGATCTTATCTATCATGTTCACGGCAGTGGAATTGGGCAGCAATCTGAACCCACCTCCCGATGTATGAGCAATATATTCGTTTATTGTCTCTTAGTACCTCGAGTAGAAGGGACTCATTTCACTTGGTTACATAAAAATGGTCAATACTCTCTGAGATTCGGCTATGGGAAGGTTAAAACAGCTCCTGCCCTCCCTTTAACTTTTTCTTCTTTCAACTGGCAAATGAGTGTTTTGAGAGTTGAAGCTCCTCGAAAATGCAAACCTTCCTTTGGCAATGCGATGGCAAGAGATCTTCTTGTGGTTACCCAACTCGCAAATAGAGAAAGTTATAGCTGACTCGAACAATGCAAGGTGTGGAAGTGAAGAATCGGTGGATCATGTTCTGCTTGAGCATACTCCCAAAAGGTCTGGAACATGGCTCCGATCAGTATCCCAAATTTTCAACAGCTCCCTTCTCTCACTTTCTTATTTACAAAAGCTAAGAAGTTCATGAATGTTCCACTTACGGGCTTGAATGTGGTAGACCTCTTTGTGTGGATTTTCGGAGCCTTTGTACCTCCCGAAACCAACTTGTCTTCTTGAATAAAGCTTTACAGAGGAAAAAAAACGGTGATAAAGACCATGTAAAGGCCAAAGTTTGGCACTTATTCGCAACTGCGGGAACCACATGCCTTGCAATCTCAAGTCCCCAACTACCAATCCGGTATTCTATGTCATGTTGATGCGGTGTGAAACTCCTCTTCGATGAATTGTGGTTTGGGAATTGGGATAGACTTTCCGTGTTGATATAATAAATTACATCTTTTGACCCCCCCCAAAAAAGGGAACATTTTGCTAATAATCTTCTCGTTATTTCTCCAAATCAGGAAAAAAAATCGTGACTTTATAACATTTTTGATAATAACCTTGTCGTTAATTTGATTCTAAAGGTCAATTTTTTTTTGTTTTCACCAGTAGCAACTCAAGAAAAGTCAATCAATCAATCATAGACCAAAGTCTTTGGTTTCAGTTCTTTTGGAAGTTTGTGGATTTGTTTACGAACTCCAAAACTCTTAGGAACTCTCTCAAAAAAACACCTAATGCATAATCGAGATTTGGTTTAAATTTGAATCTTTTGATCTATTATTGGTTTATGACTTAAAAACACTTGTCGACATGTTTGTTCTTTGTGCGGACAGTGAAAAAATTCTCTGGTCTTACGG